GCACTATTCGTTCCACTGTTGTCTTGAAAATACCCGTGGCTTGCACAACCTGACGAATAACGTTATACTTTAAATTATGCTCGTCTTTATTTTTTTTTATGTATGCGAAAACTTTAAATACAATTTCCTTTTCGACACCTTGATTTCTTGAGGAACGTGTCCTATTTGAAGATGAAGATGCCATTTTTTAAAACTAATTTTTGTAATTAATAAAGTAGATATAAGGTCACTGATTTCTTCACGAACCACGCGGATTGATGCCTTTTAAGTAAAAGCAAAGAATCACCCGTTCTCAGCAAAAATATAAAGAAACATCTTCATCCCCCTCCCTATACTCACCCACGAGCTCACAAAAGACAAGCTCATTAGAAGGTGTTTAGGTTTTTAACTTTACGACCCAGTCGACAATCCATGCTGCATGCAAGTACCTCTTTTCAAGACACTTTTCAATTAATTTTTCACTTCTTTAGAAATCGAGGCTTAGAAAGTGTTTTATTGTCACAAAAACTCTGCGTTCTGCACACAATACACCTTTCTGATACCCATGCGTACAGGGTGTAAAAAAAGTAATGATCATGGCTTTAGAGGATGAATCTACACTTCTGGATCGGTGGACATTTGTAAAAAAAAAATTGCCACAAAATTGTTTATAACAATGAGAATCAACGTTAAATTTTTTTTTTACATAAGCGTCTTCTGCTCGACAAGAAAAGAAAAAGTTTGAGAGGAGCCACAAGCCGCAAACAAATAATTCTCGAGATAAACGCTGTTAAACTTTCGCTACGATTTGATTGTGTAAAGTTATACGTATGAACTAGGCCCTACAACACATAGGATCTAGCGGCGTAGCAGATGCTCGGTATAATGGCGTGTGTACCCCTACACAAACGATTAAAGGGACAATGAGGTTAAAAAGACAAAGAATGCACTGACTCGAAAACGGGGCCGAACTAAGTAAAGTCGTTTGTACTTATATGTATTTATATACGGATATAACAAGAGATGATCTTTTACTTTTGTCGATTTTACTATCTTTGATGGTTGAATTGTATATAATTCCTAAACTCATTGCTCAATATTGTAGAGGGCATAACAAAACCTCTGTTTTTTTATACGATCGGATTTCAAAACGTGAGACACAAAGTCCAATAAGGTGATTGGTCTATCCTGTACCTCGTCTATGGCTGCAGTATCGTCGATGGAGTAAGTAGTATCGATGCGATGAATTGACTGTTTGATGTGGACTAACGCGATGGGTGGATTTATATCAGATAATTAACAAGTTTCGCGGATTCTGGATCTAACGATTAGGGCTTTAACACTAGACTAAAGATTTATCTATAGTTTTAAAATATTAAATTAATAATAATTTAACAAAACTAAAGAAATAGGATTAAAATATGGAACGACTAAAACTAGTACTTAAAGTAAAGAGCAATAATACTCATAACTTAACGTAGATTTGGAATGAATAAAATACGAATACAAACAGAAACTGAAGTGTGCGAATTATCTGAGAGTCAGAATCCGAGTGACCGCGTGTTGTGTGGAAAATGTAAGTGGATGCTGGCATAACAGATAAACAATTAAAGGATGATTAGTGAACACGAAAATAACATTTGAACTTTTTGGGTGCTATCGAGGATTTACGCGTGCATGCACTACGTCGGTCACTTTACATACACACATTACAATTTAACAATACACTAAGGTCCTCATCCTATGGCACAATGGGTTAGATAGTATGTACATACAGGGTGTCCCGCAACTCCTCGAACACCTGGAAATGGGGGGTAGCTGGGGTGACTCTGAACAACTTTTTCCTTTACCAAAATGTTGTTTAAACCTTCATTTTTGAATTATTAACGAAAAACACTGGCCAATCGGAACGCGCGCAGAGCTCGCGCTCAGGGACGAAAAACAGAGGCTCACCCGCGCTCGATTGAACAAATGCGTACGCAAGAGATCTTGGTTCAGCTCCTCGAAGCGAGCTCGCGTGATCGACGTGTAGAAGTCGATTCCATCTAGCAGCGAGTCAATTTCAATGTTGGCTTGAGTCGACGAGGACAAGGTTCTCTTTGCCCGCTCGCAGGAGGTCCTCAGTCGGCGAAGTGCCCGCTTGTTCTTCGTCAGATCCTTCTTGAACTTCCTCGAGAACTCTTGCGCGAAGTATGTCACCATGCGACTGTCGAAATCTTCGCCGCCCAGGTGAGTGTCGCCGGAGATTGCTTTCACCTGCAAACATGTTGCCTGCACTTTTTCACCAATCTCGTTGGAAACCTCCTGCGTTACTTCGCCTCCGTGTTTAACTTTCGGTATACGGAGCTGTGCCAATTTTATAGTAACTCCTTCGCGATACCGCAAGTAGAGCAAGTAGGAATCAGGTCAAGGAACAACAAAGTTAAAAGCATCCCTTTATGACTTGCTACAGCCAGAACTTCGAGGCCGTACCTTCGCGTAATCAAATTGTTCCTAGAACCGCTAATCTAGGTTCCAGATAGCACCTACGAAACTACGCGCAGCTCTTTCTACCTCTCCTTACTGTCAACGAAATTATAAAAGATCGTAAACTCTGTTGCCGACCTTTTCATATTCTATGTGAACTTTCGCATTAAAACCTGCCCCGCGTTGAGCTTTTATTTAAAAACTTTTCGCGTACTTCTCGCGAACCGTTCGTGGAGAAGCGTGTAGCTTCCGCCGTCTGAAAGAGGGAGGAAAGATTGTTGTACGGGAAGAGGGGAGAGAAGAGAACGTTCCTATGAGGCGCGTGTGGGCAACTCGCGGCCCGCGGGCAGAATATGGCCCGCGATCCGTCCCCGCGAAGTTTCTTAACACGTTGAGCGCGGAGCCGATTTCGCTCTGCTTTCCGTTCAGGCGGCGATCACTTCGCGAGCTGTTCGATTATAGAGTATAAACAGAAGATAACAAATGCGCTCACACGGCATTCAGACGAAGATATACCAATCCGGGTTGATAGAAGTGTGTGAAAAGAAGAAGGAGACGTGCATAACATTTATTTTTTAAACATGATACTGCCGGTCCCACGGACCGACGCCGCCCAAACGAAAAGTTCACTGTCAGTCACCACGGACTGACGCCGCGCTTAACGTGTTAATTCGGCGCTCTAGGTACTGATTAGTATCGTATTTCAGTTTATAATCTTATTTAATGTACTGGCCCTTTTCATTTAATTTAGTCAAAGTTGCGTGGAATTGGAAATATAAAGAGGTGTTTATTAACAAAAATATACGAGTAACTTTAATACATGTGGGAGCGAGAGCGTCTCGATGCGATGCTTCGAAATGTTGCGACCGCGGCAACCGGGATCGCGAGCGGTCTTGTCTGTCGAATCGCGAGCGTGAGCGGATGCTATTGATTCTATTCTACTTTATTTTACATTAAACTTTTGTATCCTACAAGCTAGACTGCTACCCGTCCTAATCCTACATACACGTGACTTTGACCCACGCTTCTTCTATTCACGCCTCTCGGTTTTCCATCCCTCGCACGCCATACTTTACATCCAGCCCCTTCGTCGGCCTCTCGTCGCTCGTCGCCCGCTTTCTCTCTTATGCTCGCCGCATTTTCTCAAAACTGCGCTTTCTTAAAATTACGATACTAGAGTTGTACGAAACACATAACGGAGATTTGCTTTGGCCGATAATTTGAACCAGGAAAGGTAAGAGGAGCGCAGCTCACGATCGAACAGAACAGAACGGAGAGACAGATAGACAGACTTACTTCGAATATGCCGTCGTTGATAGTGAGTATCGATACGTCGAAAGTACCGCCGCCAAGATCGAAGATCAGAACGTTCCTTTCACCGCGTCCCTTTTTGTCGAGGCCGTAAGCAATAGCGGCGGCAGTCGGCTCGTTAATGATCCTCAGGACATTCAAGCCGGAGATAGTACCGGCGTCCTTGGTAGCCTGCCGCTGGGAATCGTTGAAGTACGCCGGTACCGTAATCACCGCGTTCGTCACGGACTTTCCCAAATAAGCTTCCGCCGTTTCCTTCATTTTCGTCAGGACCATCGACGAGACCTCCTCGGGAAAGAACGTCTTCGTCTCGTTCTGGAACCGTTACGCGATCCACGCGATGAGATATTGACGGAGAAATCAGCACAAGAGTCGCGGAGATGAAGTAGGTTTATTTAGAAGAAATCGCGGAATTTCGGGTAGATTAACCCTTTTGTGTCTGGGGACGAGATGTCTCGTGCATTGATTTTTATTTCTTCGATATTTTTGCGTGAGGTATACAGGGTGTCCCGCAACTCCTCGAACACCTGGAAATGGGGGGTAGCTGGGGTGACTCTGAACAACTTTTTCCTTTACCAAAATGTTGTTTAAAGCTTCATTTTTGAATTATTAACGAAAAACACTGGCCAATCGGAGCGCGCGCAGAGCTCGCGCTCAGGGACGAAAAACAGAGGCTCACCCGCGCTCGATTGAACAAATGCGTACGCATTAAAAATGACCTTCGCTATTTTCTTCACGATTCCGACTAATTGCAGTTTTTTCAAAAATTTATACAAATGTCGGAATGACGGGAAAAACCCATTTCTCTAAGCCTTATTAAAACAACGGTGTAAAGTCAAATTTTTTTGACAGCGATCGATAACCGAGAAGTCACGTGTACGCATTTGTTCACGATCGCGCGCGGATGAGAGTCAGCGCCCGTGCCTGGGCGCGGGCTCTGCGCGCGCTCTGATTGGCCAGTGGTTTTTGTTAATAATTCAAAAATGAAGCTTCAAACAACATTTTGGTAAAGGAAAAAGTTGTTCAGAGTCACCTCATGAACCTCCCATTTCCGGGTGTTCGAGGAGTTACGGGACACCCTGTATATTTAAATATTATGTACAACGGGTGCGTTGAAACTGGGGGGGGGATTCATGTGAGAATCGCAAAATGTGTAAGTACCTCATGGCTAGTTCGCATGAATCACGGAGTGTGTACGTCACAATATTACCAATGCATGCAGTTGATAATTCCCCTACTACTCCTTGTGCGATTCTCAACAATTCTGTAGCAAATCATTGAAAACGGCATTTAAAAGAGCAGTTTCACGTGCTTCCGGTTTATCGAACGAACCGGTAAAGACATGGTGGTTTAGGACTAATAAGGAGATAAAGTAATTTTGATTTTAATATTAGCATTTTAAAGTAATTAATAATAACCTATAAATATGAACAACCTGACACCCGAATCCTTAACCGATAAAGAAAGGAATGAACTTATGCAACAAATTAAACAAGAACTTGCTGTTGCGAATGCTCAAGAGTTGCTCTCGGTACGATTACAGAAGTACATTTATTTCATTGTTTTACATATTTAAAATGAACGAACAATGTATGTTTGATCTCATATTTGCAGAAAATGTCAGAAAAATGCTTTAAAAAGTGTGTACTGAGGCCGGGTACTTCTCTGGATAGTTCTGAACAGGTAACTTTTTTATTTGTAATATAACCTTTTGTCTTAAAAATTTGATTTTTATTCTACTCATGTATTTTTTTTTTACCAAAATATAAAAATTTACTATTTTCATGAATATTTTATAAACAAAATATAACAAATATTGTAAGAGTATAAATAATAGGAAAGGTTTGAAAATGGTTTATATAATTTATATTAATCTAAAAAACGAGTATAATATTAATTCAATAAAGCAAATAAATTTTATAAAATATTTAAGTACTTAATGTACTGTGTATTACAAATATTTATGTACTTAAATATTTTTTATTAGTACTACTATCGAAGTATAAATTATTTCAATTTATTTTTCAGAAATGTGTAGCAATGTGTATGGACCGATATATGGATGCATACAATCTTGTATTGAAAACGTACAGTGCTCGAATACAAAAGGAGCATGATAGACTGTAACAGTACAAATTGTTAAATAAATTGTTTCTGGTTGTATATATTGTAGTCGTGTATCAACTCAAATATTTTCCATATTCTCCACATATTATTAAGAAAAAATTACAACTGTAATTGCTATATACATTTGTCACTGAATTATTATAAAATTATTTATTGCAAATATATACAATTTATAAATAGTAAATAGTTTTATACATGACAACTTCAACTTTAATTAATTTCTATTATGAATTAGTTCTTATATTTTTAATTTGCATGTGTGAAACTTAAAATGTTAAAATCTGAATTGCAATGTTATCACACTGCCAACTGGATTTGTAAAACATTAATGTTATGAAATAAATGAAAAACTACTTAAATTTATAATCTATGTCTCATACATTCATTAGATGTATAT